GTAAAGCGCGCGATTCAATTTAAGTACAAACTCGCTGCCAATTTTCATCCCTTTGGGTGGTAACAAGTATACTTCTTCTTGTAGGTCGGCATTCAGGTAGGCCGTATCAACATCAAGCTGGTCGATCACATATCCTGCTGCGCAGCAAATCGACAATAGCATCCTGATGGAGTTCATACTGGCGACAGCCGCGTACGTCTCGAAAAAGTTGATACCATATTGTTGCAGGAATCCGAGCGCCACAAGTCGTGCTTTGTATCGACCATCACTCTTTTTAGCCCATACCCACTTCGATCCAATTGGTTTCATTCCAGGCTTGCGTACAATTGGTGTCCACGTCTTGTTACGCTCATGAGCCGCAAATTCATTCTCAATAGCTTTAATCCATTGGTATCTGTCAGGTCCATTCACTGCCTCCGCATAAGAGCCAGGTAAATCACGAGCTATCATGGCAACTTCTGCTATCAATGCCACATCGCTGTTTATTCGCGATCGCTTGGAAGGAGGTTCGTCATCTTCACTCCCACTGGCTTCATGGTTTTCATTGTATGGCACAATGCTGTTTTCTGTTGTGGTACTAGTGTTATTGTCTTCCAACAAGAGCTGAACAGGTTGCTCAATTGGTAGCATTTCATCAACACCTCCTCGTGGTCCGGATTCACTTCTCCCACTGGTATCGTCGGTAAGAACACGATACTGATGCTCGCGACCGGAACGACGCTTAAGTTGTGGACGGAATACCATCGTTCCAGAGTCGTGCGGATTGTGTAATTCGAGTTCTTGGTGACGAGGTCCTTGTTGAATTACTTGGGAAGTGTGTTGATGTTGTTCGTTGTTCATATTTCTTGCAAGATAATGATTGCTTGTCTCACTCGAAGGTGTGTTACTGATGTCATTGTCAGAACTCGGTACTTCCATCTCCACATCTTCGACAATTTCGTGCTCTTCCATTTCAACATCTTCATCACCATCTTGTTGCAAGTCACTTGGTTGATCTCCATCATCGTCATCTTGTCGTATTATTATCATCTTCGGGTGTGGTACAACCGGATTGTCTTCGTAAATGTTACTAACTTCACGTTCATCTAACGCGATCGAACGACTGATCTTGATCGTACCAGTCTCCAGATCAAGCACCCTGTAACCCTTGGTGTGTCTTGCATATCCTAACAGCATGCAGCGAAACCCTTTCGCGTCGAATTTCGTGCGCTTTGAGTCATCGATATGTGCGTATCCAAGTGAACCAAATACACGTAGGTGAGAAATTTCGGGCTTCGTCTTAAAGCACAGTTCAAAAGGAGTCTTCTCCTCGTGATTGCAGTTCGTGGTTCTGTTAAGTAAATACACCGCCGTATTCACAGCTTCGGCCCACCACTTCTTTGCCACCCGCTTGTAATGCATCATGCTTCTGGCCGTCTCAACAATCGTACGGTTCATCCGTTCAGCAACACCGTTTTGTTGAGGACTGTAGGGTACTGTCTTCTGATGGATGATGCCGTGTTTCTTGCAGTACGAAGCAAACCTCTTGTTTTTGTATTCACCGCCATTGTCAGTACGTATGGCCTTAATACGAAATCCACACTGCTGCTCCATCTCGGTCCGAAATTCAATGAACTTCGACAGTACTTCACTCTTGGACTTCAGAAAATATACAGTCACTAATCTTGAAAAATCGTCCACGAGAGACAATACGTATCGTGACCCACCAGGAGTTGGGTTCTTCATAGGGCCCATGACGTCAGAGTGAATAAGCTGCAGTGGCTGCGTTGTCTTTGTCTTCGACTCTTGTGGAAAACTCGCGACACACAGTTTCCCTTGTAGACACCCTCCACACAAATTCTTGTTCGTGTCAGGTACTACATTCGGTAGTCCTTCCGTAGCCTCCTTTGTCTTTTTAAACTTGTTGTGGCTAATGTGACCCATTCGTGCATGCCACAGCTCCCACTTGTTACCAGCGTCTTCATGTTCTACCAACATCGCGTGCTCATACTCCACATCAAGAGTGTACACGCTTCTCATGCGCTTCGCAGAAATCATCAACACATTATCCTTGTAGATACCGCAGTATTTTTCACCGAATCGAACGTTGTACCCACGCTGGACGATCTTGGGCACCGCTAGTAGTCGTCTGTCCAGCGTTGGAATGTGCAATACTTCATTCACAGTCACTGCTGTACCATTCGTACAGCGAAATCGAATGCTTCCTCGTCCAATTGCATTCATGACCGCACCATCGGCAACGCGAACTTGAATGGCTTCTCTCAATTTCTCGTACTCAAAGAAATCTTCTTCGGCTGGGGTCATATGTGACGAGGCGCCGCTGTCCAACAACCATCCTTTTTTTAATCCGTTTGTGGCCGTGAATGCCATTTCATTTCCATCATTCTTGGTGGCAGATCGGCACTCAAACTGCTTGTGTCCGATCTTGTTACAGCGGTGACACTTCCCACGAAACGGCTGTTTCTTCTTCCAGCTCTCTTCTGCACCACGTTGTTTGCGCATTCCACGACCACGATCCTGTTTATGGCCTCCACGACCAACGCGGAAAGCTCCTTCGGAGACCTCTTGCTGCTGCTTCTTCTTGTGTTCCTTCAACAGCTTTTCTTTCACGTCCACCATCGTCACACCCATGGAATTCTCAATGATGGACACAATCATCTCGTACTCTGCCGGTAAGCTACTCAGCAGAACTGTCATCTGGCGTGCGTCGTCCATGGTATCGCCCACCGCCTCCATACTCAAAACAAGTTCATCGAAACGGTCGAGGTGGCTCACCATGTCGCCTCCCTCATCCATACGAAATTCGTGCAATCGACGTGTCAGTGCCACTCGATTCTGAAGGTTTGTCTTGTTGTAGTAGTCGCGTAGTGTTTCCCATGCTTCCTTCGCAGTGCGAGCATGTCGGATCTTCGTCTGATGCTTTACTTCGATCCCTTGAGCAATAATAGCAAACGCCTTCATGTCCTTGACCTTCCAATCCTCCGTCATCTCCTGCTCCGACTTCACTTCCAAGATGTGCTCTAGCAGGCCCTTCCTCGCAAGTGTCATCTTCATATTGAATTCCCAATGGAAGTAGTTGTCTGTTCCAAGCAGGTCATCGGGTTTCTTCATCGTACTGGCTTCTGGCAGAGGTCCTTAAGCTCTTGGGCTCATAACCTGTTATGTCGAAGGAAAATTGGAAAGTGTATTGAATTAGTTTTCCTATGAACTTACTCGTCGTGTTATCTTCTTCTACCTTGTAGCTTTCCTTGATCTTGATGGATTCTAGAACATACACTCAAGGTAGTTCTAGAATCATCAGACTGCACGTGAACCGTTTACACCCTGTCGTATCGTCGCTGTCTTGTCACTTGTGCGTAGCAAATCACAGTTGGCTTTGTTGACCGTGCATTGACAGTGCACCCATCAACAGATTTTACTCGAAGGCGCGGTTATCGCATACAAAAGCAAGCGTCAAACTTTTGTGGCTTTATCCTCTGCTGATGCAGAATACATGACACTGGCACTAGCTACGCAAGAAGTGATATGGATATCTTATTTGCTGGAAGAGATAGTCGTCACGTGTGAGACCGCGACCACGGTGCACATGGACAACAAGTCGGCGATAAGTATCGCGACGAATCAAAGATACACACCAAGAGCTAAGCACATCGATCTCAGGATGCATTTTGTTCGAGACCACATTGAGCAAGGCGAGTCCAGCTCAAACATGTTCCGTCAGCTATGCAGCTTGTCGATTACCTGACGAAGCCACTTGCTGCACCGCAATCAATGCGACTGCGCGATGAAAGCGGAATTCGCGAGAGTGCAAGTTGAAATAAAGGATCACGACTTACGACGGTGATGTGCGTGTAGTGAAAAGGGCAACTTGCATGGACAGCGGTCATCAAATTATCTGGATTGAAATGATCAGTTCATGAGAGAATTCATACTCATTTTAGCAGTTCTTTTATCTCTTAATGCTACTTTCCATTTTGCAGCACAGAGAAGAAGTTGAGATTTCGTTATGGATTCTACGGTAGAGGCCCGCGATAATGTGTGGTTGCGAGCAACTCGTTGCGCATACCTCGTTTCGATTGGTGGATTAGCCATCCAATTATTGTAGACGGCAGCAGCTCGTAAATAGAGCAATGTCATTTTCTTACAAATGTTATCTGAAAATAAGGGAAAAGTGCTAACTAGTTTTACCTGATAAGCTAAGATTCGCATTGGCAAAATGACATAAATGTCAATAAAGTCTTGTGCGTTAATATCATTGCGGGGATGCCTTCTTGATTTAACCAATGAAGACGCGCTTACAAACGAAATTCAAGCGGCATGAAAGCAGCTGGAAGATGGATTTTTAATGATGTAGCGAATCCATGATGGACAATGCAGAAGTCAGAGCGTCCACTGGCATGCATGGCGGTGTGGCAGCCGCCGCTAGCCAGGAAAACGGGTACGAAAGTGCCGCTGTCCCCAAAGGTCGCGTCGAAAGGGTACACGATGAGGCATGCATCTACAATTTCTAGCTACGTGATAAGTCGGACGAAGTGCGATCTGCTACAATTGACAGCACGAGAAATGCATGTTAGAATGGATCGTATCGGTTCGCATGCCAAAGGTGGGACACTCAAGGTCGGAAATGGCGAAGAGTCTCGCACGCCAGCTGACATGTTCACCCAAAGCTCCTCCTCACCGAGATGCGAGAAGCAAAAGCTGACCGAAACTGCACGACGGAGACGTAATTCCAGTCGACAGACGTAGTGTAAATCGACAGATGTTCCATTAGGCGACAGACGTTGAGGTTCGGTGCAGCGGATACTATAGAAGCTCGTTGGAGCGAATTTCGAGCGCGTTCTCTCTTTTCCGCCGGTATCCAAACGTGACTATGCCACTCCGTAGGTTTGTAAACAAGCGCGATGAGATTACGAGACTGATCGCCTTCCGTCTCTCCCCACTTTGCATTTTGCTACCCATATCCGAAGACGACTATCCAGTATCAAGTACATCTGAATACCATGTCAAGCAGTCCAAAGGCTGAGCCAGCCGCATCATCTCTCTCCGCGTCAACTGCTTTCGAGTGCACGGCCGATCCATCTCCAGGCTCTTCGACAACGTCGGACTCCTCGTCCAGTCAACTGCTCGCCGACCTACTGGCACAAGTGCCAAACGACGGGGCCAAGACGGCACGTCACCACGCGGCACTGACGGTCCTCGCCCAACTGCTGCTGGTCAACCAGGACAAGTCGGCAATGCAAGCTGAAGACCATGCCAAGCTCCTGCGCGACGCCACCTCTGCACCCCAATGCGTGGACATTGCCAAAGCTGCATTGGACGTCTCCAAGCGTCCGATGGATTTAGCAGCCTGTGAATTCGCGAGCTCCGCTTCCTGCCCGTCCTCAGCAACCCCAGCCTCGACCGAGAAGGATCAAGCGGACGCTGAGAAGCTGGTGTACCCCATTCCGTCAAATGAGACGGAGCGCGTGAGTGTCATTGAGCAGCTGCGTCTCCACGCCATTGTTGACGTTCCCGAGCTCAACGTGATCTGTGCACTCGCTGCGGCCGAATTGGACTGTCCACACAGTGTCGTCACGCTCGTGGAACGTGACGTGGTGCGACTGCTGGCAACGAACGCGCCCGAGACGTGGGACGTTGGGAGCGGCAACCCGCGGGAACAGACGTTTTGCCAGCACTTTGTCATGGAGGACAAGCCATTGCTTGTGCGTCACGCTGAAGCTGACGCGCGCTTCCACCAGATTGCGCCCGTGAAGCGAATGAGTCTGCAGTTCTACACGGGGTTCCCCATATCCGTCACGGTGCGTGGCCGTGAGCACGAAAAAGTCGTGGTCGGTGCGCTGTGCTGCATGGACGAGACGTCGCATCAGATGACGAGGTCGCAGTACTGGCGACTCATGAAACTCGCCGACGCAGCGTCCGCGATCCTCGGAAAACACGCGAACGAGCGCATTGCTGGCTAAGCGAGTAGAAGGACAAAGAGAGACGGACGCAACGTGCGATGCAAAACGCACAAAGGCGACGACTGCGAGAAAAAAGGTGTGAGTGTGAAGAAGAAGGAGAGGACCAACAAGAAGTGTTTACAGACCGGTGCAGCAGCGGCGATAAGCGAATAGATTCCCATACGGTCAACTTGAAGTGTGTGCGCGGGTTTGCGGTCTCACGTAGTCTCCACCAGTCAAATTACACCACGAAACCCCTTTGATTGGTTGAAACGTTTCTAACCAATCGTTTGTCTCCACTTTGCAGCTCGCACCGTTCTCGCCATTCGCATCGAGAGCGTGAGCGAGAGAGAGAGAGAGCGCGCGACTCCTCTTGACGCCTCTAGTTGCCTTCCTCGAGCCTTTATTCTCCTCCTAAGTACTTTGCAGTCGCCTTGTGCTCCAGCGCGTGGTCTTTTTTCTGCTCCACCTGCGTGTGCCTTTGTTTTCCCCATTGAAACAAGCGGTCACTCTATCTCGACAGCATTAGAAGCCCTGTGGCAGATCGAATGGTCGAAGCGCACGTTGAAACGCGCGCGACGCCACCAACTGGCAATACAACGACCCCACAAAGCGTCTCAACGACTGGCTCGAAGCTGCGTCCGACTGCAAAGAATTTTGTGCTGAATACAAAAGCGTCCGTCTGGACACCCGTCGCCTATTCTGTGCCGCCGCCATCCAAGCGTCAACTCAATGTGGCCGCCCAGCCCTTTGTTCCCTCTTGTACGTGTTTTATTCTCTACTTGGTAGAAAGTGAAAGCGCGTACAGGCGTGCGGGGCTTTTCATAGAGTACTGACGGCTTTTTGTTTGTAGTTAATGCGCCAGCGTTCGTGCCTCGATCAAGTGGTCCGTCCGAGGTGGAGATCAAAGACACGACAGTGTCTGTAGACTCTGGTGTGATCAAAGAAACGACAGTGTCTGTAGACTCTGGTGTGATCAAAGAAACGACAGTGTCTGTTGACTCTGGTGTGATCAAAGAAACGACAGTGTCTGTTGACTCTGGTGTGACTAGCACGATAGTGAGTGAAGTAATCGTGGAGGAACAGGTGAAGACGAGTGTACTGGAGACGGTGTCGACGCCCGCGACTTCTGCTGCATCGTCAAATACGTCTGAGCCAGAGACGGAAGAGCAGCACGTGATCGAAAAGGAGCATGATGTGAAGGAAGAGATTGCGATCGAAGCGATCGAGTGCGAGGAGAAACAGAAGCACGATGTGGATGTCGAAGAATTAGCTGAGGTTGTAGCGGAGGAAGCAGCTGAGGCTGTAGCGAAGGAAGCAGAGGTCGACGAGAAGCCCGAGGTTGTGACGGAACAGGCTTTGATTGGCGAGCGTATTATCTACACAATTGAACAGTTGCTAGCGATGGAGCCAGAGGTGGAAGAGTGCCGGATGCCCGAACGTGTGAAAGGCATGGTGATTGCAGCTGAAACGACAACGAAGGCTCTTTCGGCATCGGTACCGGAGGAGTCAAGCAGAGGCATGTACAGCAACGATTCGTCTCGGACGCTGGGTCGTCACAATAGCAGCAGTAGTTTCAACGAAGGACGCGGGCGGCGTGAGCGTGGGGGTGGTCGCGGAGGCCGCGGCGGCCGTGGAGGTCGTAATGTCCACGACACAGCTCCTCCCCTCGAGGACTGTGCTCCGCTTGATATCAATGACGAGACGCGTTGGAAGCCATCGCACGCCAAATCGCGTCTGGACGACCCAGTCGAGAATGCGGATGCGTCATTGAAGGAGGCCAAGTCCATTTTGAACAAGCTCTCGATTGAAAAGTTTGACAAGCTATCTGATCAGCTCATCGAGGTTGCTGTGCGCGGCCTGGATGTACTGAAGGGTGTGATTGAGATGGTCATTGCTAAGGCTCAGATGGAGTGGCATTTCTCGACGATGTACGCTGAGTTGTGCGCGAAGATCGCGCAGACTGCCATGCCTGCGATTTCCCTCGAGGACAACGAGGTTGTAGCGGATACACACAAGCTCTTTCGCAAACTGCTTCTGCAGCGTTGTCAGAAAGAGTTTGAGGCGAAGCCGGACACAGAGGGACTCAAAGACTTGCGCGAGGACGAGCGTCTCGAAAAGGAGCTACTGATGAAGCGTGCTTCTTTGGGTCACATTCGCTTTGTTGGTGAGCTATTTAAACAGCGCATGCTGAGCTCGCGCATCATGCACGAGTGTGTCCTTATTCTGTTTGGTGACATAATGGCACCTGACGAGGAGTCTCTCGAGTGCTTGTGTAATTTGCTGAGTACGATCGGCCAGTCCCTGGAGAGCAAAGCGTCCGAGAAGGCGGAGCTAAATCACATCAATGGGTACTATGCCACCATCAAGAAGCTGAGTCTGGATCCGGATCTCCTTTGCACTCGTGTACGGTTCATGCTCCAAGACCTGCTAGAGCTGCGCTCGAACCGGTGGATTGCCCGGCGCAAAGAGACAAAGGCAATGACTATCGCTGAGGTGCACGCTGAAGTTGCTCGTGAGGCAAAAGAGAAAGAACGCAACAGCAGCAAAGCTAATGGCCAAGCTCGTCTGCAGCGCAGCTACTCGATGAACTCCACAGGACCAACTGGCTCGAACGACCGGCGGCGTGGCAGCAGCGGCGGTGGCGCCTCAGCGGCCTGGAAAAATCGAAGCTTGTCTTCTTTTTCGTCACCAACGAGCACGACTACTGCGCCTACCGTGGATGCAGATGGCTGGGAGACTGTTACAGGTAATGCGCGCAAGAAAGGCACCAAGCATCGCTGTAACTCGGACCGATTCGTTGCTCCCTCGGCTGGCATCCCTCGTCACCCTAGTAGTGCTCGCTTGACCGATAACGCTTTTGCTTCGTTGAGCGGCAAGGAGTCTGGGCGTAAAGGGCGCAGCCGCAGCAACAGCTCTTCATCGACAACGCTGCGCTCTTCACGTAGTCGGGAGGACGTCAGTCGGCCACCAACATCATCTCCGGAAAAGCTGAACATGGATCGGTCTGCTAAGTCTGAAGAAGCACCCGAAGCGGAGGCTGCTCCAGCCCTGACGGCTGAGGCGTTTGGAAAGAAGGTGAAGGCCATTCTGGACGAGTATGTTGAGCTAGAGGATCTGGATGAAGCATACGCGAGCTTTGCCGAGCTAAATTCCACAAGCCATTATGGTCTGATCCCCAACAAGGTTCTAAGCATCGGTTTGGATAAGGGTGACAAGGAGCGGGAGGCCATTGCGAGCTTCCTGGCTGGTTTGTATGACCGTAAGGTTGTGACTGGCACAGCCCTGAAAAGTGCGCTGCAAGAGTTGCTAGAGTTCGCCGAGGACGTTGAGATTGACATTCCGAAGACGCTCCCGTATTTGAGCGTGATGGTAGCTCCCTCGGTGGTAGCTGGAAGCATCACAGTCCCTCAGCTCGTATCTATGTCGGAGCACTTGTGCTACAATGGCAAGGCCGCAAAGCTGGTTGGATCGACCCTTGCGGCCGTGCTGTCGTGTGAAGACGAAGCTAAGGTGCAGGAGCTGCTTGCAATGGAAAGCGTCGACTTTATGGCGTTACTGGCCGAGGCGGATCGCAATGAGGAGGCAGTACGGGCGTTCTACAAGGACTATTCGCTTGAGTTCCTCATGTAACACACCGGACAAGCGTCTGCTTCGTAAAGTTGATGAATGGAGGAATAGTGTCGACGTCGTAGCTGAGAGCAGCAAAGCAAATGTTCTTGCCCGTCAATGCAAACTGAACGTACAACTGCAGAAGCAAACGACGCACGAGCTTTGTTCATTGTGGGATGCTTAGAATACAGCGATGAGCACGAAACAAGCATACACCAGCATGGTCGGGTACATGACAAGATACTTTTGCTCCGTCATGTAGAGCGCCTTCTCGAAAAAACGCGACGCCGTGTGTGTGCTCCAGAGTGTGCACACGCTGGCTAGCACGAAGCCTGCAATGCCCAGGTCTTTCACCGAGACCACAATGTTGATCGCTGCGAGACCGATGATCGGTAGCAAGCAGTAGCCCAGCACTGAGCACACTCGGTAAATGTCGATCGTCCGTTCCGGGGACAGCAGATTCATCAGCATGTACATGAACATGCATGAGAGGACGCCGAACCCGTAGATGTAGCCAAAGTGAACCTTTGCAGCCTGGTCACAAAAAATACGCATACAGCACGACACGACACAAGTGTCAGAATAAATCAAGCAGCAGCACAGTTTGTTTTTGTATCAGTTTGTCCCATTACCAATAGCAAACATGTGCCAAAGAGGAAACAAAAGACCAGCGGTCCTGCCAAGTCGGCATCATCCAGAATGTGCTCGTTGATCTGCTTCGTTGGGAGCAGCACGGACACCGTTTTGGCCCAAATGTGCTCAAAATTGATCCCCAACTCTGTCGCAAAAGATCGAAAAAGCACATTGACATTTAGCTCCTCCATCACAAACCCCAAATCGACACGCAAATGAGTAGCCAGTCCCAAAAACCTTCCAAAAGCGGTGGCTCGTCCGCAAATTCATTTTCGTCGTCCCCGTCCTCATAATACCCCGACGACGAGCCCACCGTGCCGCTAAGTCCGCTGGACCCTGACATCGCCGCAGTAAAGCCTGGACCACCACTGTTGTTGATAGGGCGATGTGTTGGCGCATTTGTAGGCGGGAACGCCCCATCCTGTGACGTAAACCACGGGCTCATGGTGTTGGGATCCATGTTCATGTTCATAACGTAATGACGAGCGTTGTTCGAAGTGGCAAGTGGCGGGAATTGCGATATTTGTGAAACGCACGTGAATAGAAATGTTCACGAGCGATAGAAATGAACGGCAACATCACCATACGTCATGCCCGTACGTCATGAAAGTTTTTGATTTAACATTTAGGAAGCTGCAGATTGTCTTTTGGCTCGTCGTTTCTGATAAATAGGATGTCTAGAATCTCCGAAGCCAAATTTGCACCGCCACCCAAAGCGCCGAAGATCAAAACTTGTCTCGCACTCACCACATAATGCTTTGCTCTTAAATGCTCAACCTCAGAGCCTATTTCTAAAACCTCAGGGTACTATCCGAGACGTATATATCTCAACAGCGCAGCGCAAAACTTCATCACTTCCTATCAACGTTCCTATGTTATGCCCATGGACGTATCTGTGTAAATTACGCATCCGGGTATCGTTCGTTTATAAAAAAGCGCCCATTTTATACGATCTATTTGATGACTTGCGCATTCACGTCGTCTCATAAAAGCTCACTGCAACCCGCCGGACGGACACGTCACAGGTCCTTCATAACTTTAAGGTGCGATCGGTGTTACTCGTATAGCAGACCAAAGTGACGACATGTCATTTCTCGTGTTGAATTATGGAAATGCTCATGTTGTTGCAAATATTTTCGATCTCTATTTTAATCTTGAGCTTTATCTATCGTGAGGTCACTGAGTGTCGTGTACGAGCTTGTAAAGAGACAGACATCTATGGCAGCCGCCAAGGACGACGCTTAGTATGTCTTACAGCACAGCTTGTTTGCACTCGTCGATTCGGCACCGCGTGCCATTACCTAAGCGAGACAAACCCTAGAAGCTATCACAACGTACAGTATCGCTCAAGCCATCAAGTACAGCTCGTGACTTACCTTGAGCGCATATGCTCTATCGCTCTGTGCGTATCCGAAGCACTCGTGGTAGCCACAGTTCTTGCACCACCTCGAAGCCAACAAAGCCCTTCTGTCTATGCACTTGGCGAAAGTTGCTGTCTGGCATCACTTGCCTCTGCCACGGACCACATACAGCCCTCGATTGATCGTTTGTGCAGCGCATCCGTCTACCGTACACTTTGCGCTACCTCCATGTGTGATGTTGTGTCCACCTTGCTTCGCTTTTTTCGGGTATTTCTAGACATTGCATCTCTGTGAGCTGGGCTTTCTAGTCACTGGATCAGTGAACAAGAGATCGAAATAGAATTTACGATCGATATTCGCTGTCGATCTGTTGTCAATAGCGTCAACATAGAGGAGGTGGTCGAATGGAGGCATGATGGCGAAAGAGTCACACCGATTATAGGCTTCTCCGTGGGCAGCACCTGTCTCGAAAAAATCGGTAGCGAGTGTCTGTGGGCGATTGGTCAACACAAGTGTCGATCTTGAAGCTCATATGATACCCATTGCGAAAGATAAGACGATGAATGACGAATGTCAACTTCGACGCGTGGTGGTAAGAGGAGCCGGAATGGTGTTGACAGATTTAGCTACCGATGCACTGCGAGGCAGCAAAAAATTGATCGCTTCACGAGCACATGATGTCCATCACACAGCTACTAAATTTGCGTCTTTATGTAACTCGCAGTCCATTGCTGCTCTTGATGATCCACATAATTTTGGCGGACTGACGATCACAAACTGCTTCGGTTGCTACCGATTCACGTTACGTATTTTGTGGAGAGCCGTTTTCTTTACACTAGTCGAACATAGCATGTCGCGATGATGTCACGCGTCTTGTTATGGCCTGACCGTGTCTTGCTTTGCAACGATTTTAACGGCATTCATGCTCCGTGTCAGTTGCGACACGTTCAACACACGAACTTGTGACTACCGCAATAAGTGCATACGTGAGTATGGACGTGGGGGTGTCATTTGATGGCTTAGTAGTCAAGATGTAAGCGAAAGAGGACAGACATTACTGAAAAGGTGCTATGCTCGGTGCACGCCACTATGTTAAGTACTGCGGCAAATGCCAAAGCCGAAAAACCCATTCGTTCATTGCAACGCCGTCCGAGCGAAAGGGATCACGAAATATTGATGACTTCATGGTCAAAGGGCTAAGCAAAACGGTATCTGCATTACCAAGTTCTTTCCCTCGAGCTACGATTCCTAGCTGTAATGCAAAATGCGACTTCATCTTGTCAATGGCCCTTGACGCCCCTTGATCCGGTTCGTCCAGACTTCCAACTGCTCGTGAGAATGCTCAATTGCCACCTATCGCCTGCGGGACACGGCAACAAGCGCCACCGTCGCAATGGCAACCGCAGCGGCAGTGTACCCCATGACCTCGTCCGACACGCCCAACCACTGCGCCAGCGCACTTGGCGTCGTCGGCGACGCAAACTTGACCTTCCTATTTTTCGCTTTAGCGATGCTATTCTCAATGTCACGCTGGATCATTTTCGCCGCAATCGGGTGGTACAGGTTCTTGCAATCCGCAAAGACGGCCTCCGCTTGGGCAGCACCCAGAGCTGTGCACAGGTCACGAAAGAGCGGCCGCACAAACTTCATACGACCCTGCTCTTTCAGCATTTCCACGGTCTTGTCAAGCAAGCGCAGGTCACCCGACCGAAGCAATAGTGTGTACCAGCGGAATCGCAGCTCCGAGTTATGCGTGGTCGTCAAATGATGGTGCGTATAGGAGTCAATTGCGTCCAGGTGCGCAGGCGTGAAGGTTCCATCGTGTTGCTTCAACAGCAGTGTATCCAACAGCAGGATCCACAGACTAGTCGGCCACTTCTTCAGTACGTCCTCGCTCGCGCCTGTCCACGTGTCAGGGTCGCTACTTGCAGTCATTTGTTCGCCCAATGTCGTCGCCTGGCTAGTCAAAGTCGTGTCAAACTTGTTTGCAACAGGCGGCATACCTGGCGAGTGGTACCAGGCGTCCCAGTCGATTTTGCTCAGTGCCGCTGGCTGCCCTGCAAAGTACTTTTCGAAAAACGCACGAAATTCGCCTGACGTGACTGTCTTGAACTTGAACTCCTGAATATACGCTTGCGCGAATTTGTCAAACACCTCGTGACCGCCAACGACCGTCGACAGGTAGTGCAAAAAGTTAAACCCCTTCTCATACGGAATCGACGAGAAGACGTCATCCGGATCAATGCCGTCCGTGTTTGGTACCAGCGCTGTGTACGGGTGCTCGGGTCCAAATTCCTCTACTGCCTCCACAAGGGCACGTAGTCCCATGGCAGCCTTGAGGTCGTATGCCTTGGGATCCTGTGCAATGCGCGTTTGAATCTTGCGTTCCAGCCACATTGTCCACCCTTCATTCAGCCAAAAGTCGTTCCACGAATGGTTCGTCACGAGGTTCCCCGTCCACGAGTGCGAGATCTCGTGCGCCACAACGTCAGCCAGCGAGCGATCGCCCGCCAACAACGTTGGCGTTACAAACGTCAAGCACGGGTTCTCCATGCCGCCGTACGGGAACGACGGCGGGAGGCACACGAGGTCGTAGCGCTTCCACACATACTCTTGGCCCGTAATGGCCTCGGCGTGTTGCAAGAACGCTTCCGTCTGGGCAAACTCGTGCGCGGCTTTCGTCACGACCGCAGCTTCGGCCCACACGCGACTGCGCGGGCCCAAGTCCACACTCTCGAGTCTGCCTGCGACAATCGCGAGCAAGTAGCTCGGAATGGGCACCGACTGCTGGAACGACACCTGGTGCGTCCGGTGCTCCTGGTCGACGTGCTGCGGTCCTGCTGGATCGGCAATAGCACTCATGAGGCACGTGCACCACTCGGGCACTGTGACTGTGGCCGAGTAGGTGAACTTGCACGCCGGCGTGTCGGGACATGGCACGAGCGAGCGCGCGTGGATGGCCTGGCACTGGGTGAACAAATACGGGTGCGTCTTGCCGGCCGTGAGCTCCTTGCTGAGCCACTGGAGACCGCTGGCGGCGCGCGACGTGGTGTAGTGCACGCGAACGGTCGTCGCCTCGCGCGGCACCGTCACGACGAGCGCTTGGCCGAAACTCGCGTGCGCCGGCGCTTCGAGCGTGAACGGCGTCTCGTGGCCGTCGGCGAACGTCTGTGCGATCGTCAGGTCGTGTGTGTCCAGTACGACCACAGCCGTTGACGCCGTTGTGGACACGTGACGGAACGTGTACTCGGCGTACCCGTGCAGCGTCTGGCTCGAGAAGTCGAGCGAGAGGACCCAGTGCAGGTGCGAGAACGTGACGTCGCGGAGGTTCGCGTACGAGTGCGACGAGAGCGGACGACGCGCGGGGGGCGCAGAGCTCGCGGCCATTGTGGCGGTTTCAATTTGTAAGGGGGATTTTGGGTTGACCGAGGAACGATTTGCTGGTTTAAGTCTGTCGCTGGACCAAAATTGCGACGACCGACGACATATGAGGGCACTTTTTAGGAGATACACGCAAAGCTCAGTGTCTGTGGATGGCACGCGTGGGCGGGCTTGTATTGAGGGTGCGTCTGATTGAAGCTTTTTCATCGCTAGTTCGCTGGTGTTGTTGTTTGTTTTTTTTCGACCCATTGCGTGGAAAGACAACAGACGGACGACAAATGGACGAGACGTTCGTCTGAATGCATACCGGTCGGCTGGAAAGCGCTCATGGCTTTGCATCGATGTGTGTGGACGTATGGTATGCAATTCGCGGTACGGTCGATGAACTTGTTGTTTACGTAACTTCAGCGAGCACAAATTGAGCATTTAACACGCACGTCGTTGTGTGTCGTACGACACGTGCTTGATGAAAGGTCAGCCCGTCACGTAACTTTGACCTCTACATTAATAGCTTTTATGTGAGTATCGCCTTAGGAATGGTGCGTGACAAGATTATCGAACGCGCATCACTCATCAGGGGTAAATAGTTAGTAGTTCTCGTTGCAAAGATGAGGGCGTCCAAGCGACTCAGGGAATGCTAACGAATCAGCAGTCAACTTCTTACTTTGACGAACACCACATGTAGTGGTGGGACACTGGAAGTGGTACCAGTCCTGGACTAGGCAAGTTAACCATGTGATGTACCCCCCATAAAAATTTGTATCGCTTCAGCAACCAATAATACAATTCAGGTTTATTCTATTTGAGGGTGACACCTTTCATTTTATTATGGAGATTTAAAGGCACACACCCAACCTTTGGTACGTACGCACACATGAAAAAGAGACCCCTCTTTGAGTACTGTAACCTCCCTAACTGGATACTGCACACTTGTACATACAAAATGCCAATAAATACTCTTTGCTACGTACACACCCCTCCGTAATACAAGACTCTTTTGTGTCAGCACACAGCCTTGCGTATAAATCCGCTCTCATTATCCGGTACAATTCCCTACAAGTACCCCTGATACGATCATTTCCACTATTTTTAACAGCGGTAGAACAACGTCAACAACGCCTGAGATACGAGCCGCAAATCAGCCGTACGGCCGCAAAAGCTTCCTCGGCGAGAAGCAAAGAGGCGCAGCATGTGACCTGCGTGTTGCTCTGCTTATTGTCGTACCCGCCATTTTTCTGGTTGTGGTGCTGTACGAGTTTATCTGTTTCCTAGAGTACATTGTCTGCACGACCGAAGGATACCGTCTTGTTGCTGAGCAGAGCGGCATTTGCGCACGGACGACAACGCAGCAGCTATCACTTCTCTGTCGAAGTCACTTAAAGCTACTCGGTCGATCGTCAATGGGTGTCGCACGATCGTTCTGGTGGCCAATTACCGCGACTCGACCAGGTGAGCAGGTGCCACATATACACATTGAGGTACTTGTGTCAGTTTAAATCCGACCTCTGGATGATTATTTGCTGACTTTTTGTGGATGTAAAATGTGTCTTTGACCTGCCCAGGTGCTCGGAGTCGCTGCTGTCGATCTTTGACAATGCAGCAGCGCCGTGCAATTGCAAGTTTAGCCTTTATGGTAAGAGTTAACCTGCAAGAAACGAGCGCTCGTGCGCCGACGTGTTTCTTGAGTTCGTGGATCAGACGACTGTCACCGTGCACAACTTGTGTCGTCTTCGATCGACGCTGTTAATGTGACGGTTGGTCATTAAGGAGCCTGGTAATTTTAATTGGTGGTGACTTTTGACTCACTTGCTGCTGCTGAAGGGTTTGTGTTTGATTGGATGCGGTGTAGGGGCCCACTGCTGCGCGGTACGAGACGGAAAATGCCATCATGGACGAGCATTTCTACCTGACAATTGGCTCGCAAATGATTTTTGTGCGCGATTGGGACGAGAAGATCATCGTGCAGTGGGGATCTATCAAGAATCCGAACGCCTTCATTGCAATCTACCCAAAGTCCACTGAACATTTGACGGATCACGGTAGGGATGACCTGCATAAGAAATATCTAAAAAAGGGTAAATGATCGTATTAGGGGTACTTGTAGGGAATTGTACCGGATAATGAGAGCGGATTTATACGCAAGGCTGTGTGCTGACACAAAAGAGTCATGTATTACGGAGGGGTGTGTACGTAGCAAAGAGTATTTATTGGCATTTTGTATGTACAAGTGTGCAGTATCCAGTTAGGGAGGTTACGGTACTCAAAGAGCGGTCTCTATTTCATGTGTGTGTACGTACCGAAGGTTGGGTGTGTACCTTTAAATCTCATTTTTTTATTCTCCCGTTATCTTAAGGCATGCACTCTTTAGCACATGGTACTATTGATTATCGAAACCGTACAAGTTCCTTGAACCAGGACTTGACGCTCTGTGAGCAAAGCATAATCGTAGAGTCGTGTTCTTGTCAATAACGTAGTGTCCCGTTAAGATAAATGGCCTTCCTCTAACAAAAAAGCTGTACAGCTCCGCTACAGCACCAGTTCTAACGTGACGCCGACCTGTACGACGACCGTATTATTAATTGTACTGATGCTCATCCTGCGTCCCTGTCCAGCCTTGGTGTGGATATCGCTACAGGAATAGCCTTCTACGGTCATTAGTTCCCGTGTGGAGTAGCCACACACCCCGTCGTAGTGGTGCTGCTTCTGATGACACGGTTCGCCCTTCCTTCCAGCCAAAATCTTAGTTTATGGGGATCTAGTCCGTGACAGGGCTGGTCGATCACTAAAGAGAAATCGACTGCCCCGGTGTCCTTTGACATAGCCAAGCCTTCTGATACTGAATTGCTGGCGATTAAAATTGCTGCTATGATGCTAAGGCCGGACGGACCTAATTTTGCGCAAGTTGCATTAGTGCAGCCTGGAAGATGTGGCAGTTTCTTTGCCCCGTCAATCTGGATGCAAGATTGATATTTCCTAGGTAAGCACCTCTAGGCTGCTGATTCCTTTCTGACAGATCAAGGCAATGCAAAAGTCAGTGGGCTGCTTCAGAGTGGCCAGATCAACGTGCTTAAGCGCATATCAAACGCTACTGTCTCCATTGGTGCCCAATCGCTGGATATCAAGCGAGCACTATATAGGGAGCAGGTGACGGTTTTCGGCCGTCTGATCACGTTCAAGGCTACAAGCGTACTAGAAACGTGCTCTTATGTTGACATTTTTGGCGTTCCTGGATCGATCGCACCGACGATTTTCTTTGATCTCCTGTGTGAGATCGGCGCCTTACCCCTCTGCCGTGTTCGTTTGCGGGATACTCAAGTCAGAGCCTTATTTTTGGTTCAGTCTCGCATCTATCCCCATGCTGACTCTCTTCCATCTTGCCTTTGCGTTGACGTTGCGGCGATGGGCCAGTTTCTGCTCCGCGGATCTCGGTATCATGTACTCTCCCGCGGCACTGTACGTATCTGTCCATTAGAGCCGTACCATCGCGTCTCTCGGCACGTGCTGGACCTGATTCCTTATATGTCTTAAGTCACCGGAGATCAAAGCCAGACGATTGGTTCGTTAACCAGTCGCATACTTGAAATTGGAGCCTTTAGCATGTCGGACGACGTGACTGACTTTGCTTCGTGTGGTGAGACGGCTCGATTGACGTAATGACACGATATGCACAATCATCAGGTCCAATTGAGCGTCAAAAATAGCGTTTGCATCAAATATCACGACCGACATCCTATCTTCTACCGTGGAAATTTAAAAAACGGTAATGAACGATCATTAATCTTCTCGTGGTATTGAACGAATTTACATTTGAACTACTGGACTGCTGAAAGATTGTGGAAGCTCGTCAAATATATACGACGCGCGCTCCGATCTCGATGCACAGCTTGATTTGTATGGATCAGCCATTGATGACTACCACTCCACGCTTTAAGTACGGACGACACATGTATAGCCACTAAAGAGTGCTACCGCTGCTGCAGCCAATGTGCCAAATTGACGAAATTGACGGCCAAGTCACTCGTGCAGACTCGTATCAGTAAGCGATATGTTCGCGAATTCTGTTAAAGGTGGTAAGTCACATCCGTTGCGCTAAATGTCTAGCACTTTTCCTGATAGTACGAAACGTGCAAATATACACCAAGTATTCTTATCTTAAATGACCCGGATACTCTTCTCGCGAAGGGTCTAAGACAAGCCTGGTTCTAGGCAAACAATGTTTTCGCGGGTTGTCGAAAACCCAAAATGGCCGTGTGCAGCGAAATAAGATATTGTAACCTGCACTTGGCAAACGCCTTGACTTGCTGCTGATCCGAAAGGTTGTGATTTTTTCCTGTATATAGAGCTCCTTTCGTCCCTACTAATACTGTACAGCACTTGTTCGGATCACGCTAGCGCTTCGCCGACTCTACGAAAACGACCACTGTGATCTGGTTGAGCTCTCTTGCAATCGCCTTCTTCAAGTTTCTCCTAACGTCACCATTAAGGGTTATGCGAAGTGATGGCTTGCTGAACTTTGGTTCTGGATCCCCGATCCAGTGGTCCACAGTGTACCATTGTGTCTGCTTTCAGTCGACGTGTTTTAATTTCTCTTTGAACCCACCGTTGCAGAACTCATTATTGACCAATGTAGTTGTTATGGCTACACTAGTGCAGCTCTCGGCTATCTCGTACGCTTGCGTAATTTGGGTGCGGCGGTTGATGACATAGATATTACTTTTCCGTTTTCCACCACGGCCACTGTTGTTCAAGTCGATACATGCCCTCTCCAATCGGTAGTTACACGCTATATCCCGGTCATGATGGAGTGCCAAGGTACCCTCAGCTTAAAATGAGGATTGGGTACTATCGGCAAACACCAACGGTGTCAATCGCAATCGACATCTGTCTAATATGACTCTTGTACTACCATGCGACCTCCAAGTGCTGACAGGGTGCACAGTTATACGACTTTGTACATCAGTCCAAGTTTCTATATGATGTGGCTGCGTAGTGTAATGCCCGTTACA